TAAGATAATACACCAAGATTCACCCATAATGCAACACATTATAAAACTAATTGTTTCTTCATTAAGATAATACACCAAGATTCATAATGTAACACATTATAAAACTAATTGTTTCTTCATTAAGATAATACACCAAGATTCATAATGTAACACATTATAAAACTAATTGTTTCTTCCTTAAGATAATACACCAAGATTTACCCATAATGTAACACATTATAAAACTAATTTTTCTTCATTAAGATAATACACCAAGATTCACCCATAATGTAACACATTATAAAACTAATTGTTTCTTCATTAAGATAATACATCAAGATTCACCCATAATGTAACACATTATAAAAAACATTATGAATCTTGGTGTATTATCTTAATGAAGAAACAATTAGTTTTATAATGTGTTACATTATGGGTGAATCTTGGTGTATTATCTTAATGAAGAAACAATTAGTTTTATAATGTGTTACATTATGGGTGAATCTTGGTGTATTATCTTAATGAAGAAACAATTAGTATTTCCCAAAACCAAACTGACATATTACAAGTTATGTTGTATTTCCCAAAACCAACTTGTCATTTTACAAGTTATGTTGCCCTTTCCGAAACCAGTCAACATTACTAGAATTAACTGTCATTTTCATATCATACCCAAGCTGAAAATATGACCCATGTTCATGGACTCAATCTTATGATGACTTTCCGATCCACAGAAAAGCAAGCTAAACGTTAGACCATGTTGTACCGTGATTACATACTGAAATATTTCTACTTTTCGTGTGTTTGGAGTAGACTTTACAAAGTGTTTCGTTTTTGTTTTTGTTTTTACTCTTTCTGCAATAAACTGCTTTTAGTTATTTAGAAGAATTATTCATTATATGAGACTTGATGAGCTTAATCATCGAGAAATTCTACTTGTATTTTATCCAAAATAACTTGTATATATTATTATGTCAATTTGGTTTTGGGAGATACAACAAAATTTATGAAATAGAAATTTGGTTTCTGGAAAGACAACGTAACTTGTAATATGACAGTTTGGTTTTGGGAAAGACAACAAAATTTATGAAATAGAAATTTGGTTTCTGGAAAGACAACGTAACTTGTAATATGACAGTTTGGTTTTGGGAAAGACAACAAAATTTATAAAATAGAAATTTGGCTTTGGGAAAGACAAATGTTGCCGTTTATTCCATTCCTTTGTTTAAGGCGTCATTAAGAAATCAAGAGTTACGGGCGTGATGGTCCTGAACACGCTCCGCCTTTCAGTTGGGTGCACTTAGAAAAGTAATGGTCAATCTCGGTTTTCAGTTCAAAGATTTTTAGCAAATACAAACTTATCATGCCACCGTTACTTTCTGCCAAATCAATAAGAAACTTTCCAGGATTTTATAAATGATGACTGTCATGTTTTAGTTTGATAATAAAATACTCAAATGAGAAATACTTCTACAAACTCCTGTAGGGATTTCCACTTCGATCACTTAGTTTTTTTTATGTGTCATCATCAAGTGTTGTTGTCTATTCCTGTTTTGACTTTTTTCGATGAATAAAGTATCAATATTTCAACAACTCATCAGTAAAGCCTGGGTGTATATGTGCAATACGTGTGTTGCTCCATTGAGGCTCAGGACAAGTGTCTTACTCTACGTGGAAACCATCGACCATCAATCGTACTTTTCAACTAAAGTCCTCTAGTTGTGTCTGTAGGATATCAACAGTAAGGTTATCGTATAGGAAGTGAACTTGCAAACTAATGCTTCCCCTCTCCACAAGAGCTGAGTGGTACGCTTCAGAGCTTATACACTAAAACCGGGGTTCGCTACCAGTGGTGGACACAACGCAAATAACTCATCGCGTAGCTTTGTGCTTAAGAAAATCAAACTTATTGAACATTTATTTTTGGGTGTTATTTTGAAGGTGTAATAAATATGAATTTATTGTATCAAAGATAGTACAGTACATGTAGATAAGTTTGAAATACGGTTGGTCAATATTTGCTTATTTGTTTGGTTTTAAGTACAAAGCCACACAGTGACTATTTGAGCTATGCCTACCACGGGTATCGAAACCTAATCATAGCGCTATAAGCCTCTGTTGTTGCACAACGAAACATTCACATAGGTAGCACATTATTACGCAACCCTCAATAGCCTACACGTCTCAAACAACCCTCAATAGCCTACACATCTCAAACAACCCCAATAGCCTGCACGTCTCAAACAACCCTCAATAGCCTACACGTATCAAACAACCCTCAATAGTCCTACACGTCTTAAACAACCCTCAATAGCCTACACGTCTCAAACAACCCTCAATAGCCTACACGTCTCAAACAACGCTCAGTAGCCTGCACGTCTAAAAAAACCCTCAATAGCCTGCACGTCTTAAACAACCCTCAATAGCCTACACGTCTCAAACAACGCTCAGTAGCCTGCACGTCTCAAATAACCCTCAATAGCTTGCACGTCTTAAACAACCCTCAATAGCCTACACGTCTCAAACAACCCTCAATAGCCTACACGTCTCAAACAACGCTCACTTTAGAAAACCTTTTATTTTTATAATCAACATTTCCCGGTAACTGACCATTAACTTTTATAACATTTGTTGGAAAAACCTAACAGATTATTATATATTAACTACTGCAAAGTGAGAATAACTTATTGTAAACTTAACCAGTACTTGTTAGTGCAGAGAAAAGGTTCTTCTTAAATTTATGGTTAATTGTTTTCGGAATTAATGTTCACTTGCCGTTATTCGAAACTCATCACTTCCTCCTATGTATTGTGATGAGTTTGAATAAAGTTAAATGTTTAGTTTTGTCTTTGAATTAAGCTATACTCACGTTTTTGTCGGAGCTTGTTTTATCTTCTTCCATCATGATGATGTGAATTTCTTTATCTACAAAATCTACAAGTTGCTAACAATACGTTTGAGCAGCCCGACTCCAAAAGGTTTTTCATCAAGCTATCAATACAGAGCCACTCAAAGTGGAACACGAGACCTGCGTTCACCACCTCAGCAAGTAATCAGACTTGAAAATCATCATGATGATGCAGTATGAATACAATCCGAATATTTGTTGTCAGATGACTTAACATTTTTGCAGTCTAGCTGTCCTTTGATTTTTCAAATCAGGTTATTTGCACTTATATGATGATGTGTGTATTTCTTTTAGTGTTTACTTGCATAAATAACGTTCAATGCTTGAAGCAAAACACTAGGCACTGGTTTAAGTTAATGGTCGGCTCAAAGAAGGCTTCGTTGTTAATGATTTCACAAGTTTACATGTGTATTACTGATCAAATTATCGGTGTCGGTTAATACTAGGCTTTGCTGTTACTGGTTTCAAAAGTTTACAAGTTCAGGGTGTCAGACGACATTTACAGCCTGAAGATAAACTTCAAACTTCTAAAATCCTAAAACCTTTTTTTTTCTGTTATCATACCCAAGCAGAAATTTGTCCTACACAGTAAAAATACTTTACTTTTCGTTATATAAGTGTATATATTATACATCAGCAAAAGACAAATTTAAAATGTGCAGTCAACCAAATTCATTGGATCATAGAGTATATTCAATATGATTGTCCAGTGGGCCGTTTACAACCGTCTTTTGTCATTTCAATACGGAAAATTGTGTTACGTTTATTTTGAAACAAGGAGATTGACTACAATGTATTATTGACAAAAATATTTGGGTTTCGATGTAACGGGTGCATCCAGCACAATAGAGGGCTCTGGTTCGCTTAATAGTCGCGGGAATGTTTTTCTGCTGGATGCCACAGTTCCTTGTCATTTTACTAAGTGCAAATAAAGACTGCTACCGAAGGAAGCACTTTTTTGATAGCTGTCAAAATTCAATTCAGTTCAAATCAATTAATTCGACATGGTACAATAAAAGCATGCATGTATATAATACACACATGTATATAAACCAAACAACAACAGGTATATACTTCAACATGTTCCTCTCTTTATGCGTTTTTCTGGTCCTGCTCCTATCTTCGAATTATTCATTTCAATCACTCGACGGAGGGTCTCGTTTTTTTCTTAATATTCCTTGACAAGACGAAACATTTTTGTTGTTAAAACGTTTTTCTAAGATGCTTTGCGTATAATATTGAGGGCGTTGTTGATATCGATATAAAATTTTAGGAATTGCAAAAAGGGATAATTTTCCTGTAATGTACTCTTGAAAAGAAGCATTTTGTTATGTATATTTATTTTGTCTGCAATTAACCACTCAGGAGATACAGAGCGCAACAGAGAGAGAGAGACAGACATTTGGCTAATATATATATAATTTTAAATTATTGGAAACAAAATGCTACTTCTTCCAAGACAAGTTCGTAACCTCATTTCTCTAGCTGCTTGCTAAAATTCATCTGAATTTGGAGAGTGAAAATAAAGAGTACAGTCGTATACTCAGATGTTCCATGCAGCTAATTTGGAGAGTGAAAATAAAGAGTACAGTCGTATACTCAGATGTTCCATGCAGCTAATTTGGAGAGTGAAAATAAAGAGTACAGTCGTATACTC